CCCCCCCCCCAGATAATAATAATGATTGTTCCTTTTCAAGCTACTTCGGTTACACAGAATGTGACTGAAATGCACTCGTTCGTGAAAACACTTGCACTCAGAGGTAATAATACCTAAAGTCTTCTGCAGAATGAAAAACAGTTGGAAAATGAAACAGTCACATAATTTCAGACTAGAAGAACTGCCCTGGCTCAGATTAAATCTGGTTGAATTCTCTGATTTCCAGGTAGACGGTAGAAGATAAAAGCAGGACAGCAGATCTCACCGTGTCTTCCTCTGTTTTGTGTTCCCCAGATATTCATCATAGCGCTCTCCTTCGCCTACTTCTCCAAGGCGCTGACAGGCACCTACATGAAGAGCTCCGTCACTCAGATAGAGAGACGCTTCGACCTCTCCAGCACGCACGTCGGCCTCATAGATGGCAGCTTTGAGATGGGTACTGCTTTACCCACGCAGCCCAGCAGTCTATCTGTTGACACTGCTGTCATTTTCTGTTCCTTTTTGTCTTTCCCTGACGTTAGGTAACTTGCTGTTTCTCGCCGTGGTCAGCCATTTTGGGGCTCAGCTCCATCGGCCCAGACTCATCGCTGCCGGGTGTTTACTCATGGCCGTCGGCGCCCTTCTCACAGGCCTGACGCATTTCTTCATGGGATTGTAAGCGCCAATGGAAACCTTTACACTCAGAAAAACAACAACAACATCTGAAAGACAGATTTGATATTGTTTTGTGGCTTAATTTCACAGCTATAAGTATGACACAGTTATTCAGGTTCTCCAGAGCAGTAATGTGAGCATTCCAGCATGTGTGGATCCTCTGAAGACTGTCGACATGCCAGAAATTCAGATCGAGCCTTCTGTGGAAGACAACAAAGGTATCAGCAGTTTATCCTGTGATCTAATGGTCAAAACAATTTTCTGACCAACTGACACATAGAGTCCACCTTTAACTTCATATGTGTAACAACAACAGTGTTTTCTTATTGTGTGCAAATGGTTATAGAATAAAGAGTAAAAATGTTGTACTGTAAGAGCAAAATTGCAACCTAAGTAATCTAAAATAAAAAAAAGAAATAGTCCAGTCCAGAGGAAAGACAGACTGTTAGTGAGAAATACAAATACATGTGGTTTTAATATAAACGTGAATAAATAAATAAACCAGTCATTTTATTTCATTATCTTAACATGTTCTGAAAATAACATTTGCTCTATTGTAGTAAGAAGACACAAAACCAAAACTTGCACAAATAAATAAATAAATCAACAAGCAAACAAAAACATTACATGGAACTCTTTTTACAAAGTAAGAACAAATTGTTTTTGGTTCCCAAAAATAAGCTCCATTTCAGTAAACACAAATTTCACAGAAGACACTTGTAAATAAACATTTAAGAAAAGAACAACACAGAAAAGACTACATTGTATTTAAAAAAGCGAAGAAAAAAATATCCCACACTTGTATCTTAATGTTTGCAATGTTTTCTCAAATCTATGTCTACCTCTCTGGCTAGCTGGCTGGATGGCTAGCTAGCTAGCTTTTTCTTTCTTTCTTTCTTTCTTTCTTTCTTTCTTTCTTTCTTTCTTTCTTTCTTTCTTCTTTCTGTCCGTCCGTCTATCTTTTTCTTATCCAGCTGGCTAGCAAGCTAGCAGGCTAGCTACCTCAAAGCTGTACAGTTCTTATTGGTATCTTCACTCTATCCCTATATGTTGTTCATGGTTGTGTTGATCAGGCTGTGAGAGAGAGTCCAGCTCCCACATGTGGATATATGTGTTCCTTGGGAACGCTTTGCGCGGGATTGGAGAAACTCCCGTCACTCCCCTGGGCATCTCGTACATCGACGACTTCGCTAAAGCGGAAAACTCTCCTTTCTACATCGGTAAATGATAAAATGAGTCGTGAAGCTGAACTTTGTGGTTTTAACGGCAGACTTATTCTCTTCATATTTTGGCAGCTTGTCTCCAGACTATTACTCTCCTGGGTCCAATGTTTGGATTTCTCCTGGGTTCCTATTGTGCTAAACTTTACGTTGACGTTGGATATGTTGATATGGGTAAGTATGACAGTACTTTTCCTGAACATGTTCTGGTGATTAATATGGGAATTTGTAACAAAATTATTTAAGATGTTGCTGCTAATCTTGTGAAAGGCTTGGATTAATAATATATGACATGCATTAGTCATGTTTTCTGACTGATTATTACAGTAAACCAAAGGTAACTCCTGTACCCCTCCCCCCTTCAATTTCAGATTAAAATTAGTCTTTTAAACCTTTTTGGCAGCAATTACACTCTTTGTGACAAAGCGGACACAGGGGACTTGCTGTGTTCTGAGCTTCATTTAGACCGAGCCTGCTGTTTGTAGGGCAAAAGGTTTGACACACTTGCACCAAAACAGGTAGCACACTTGTCAGTGAAGGTTAGTGAGAACTTTTTTGAGTGCCCTTGGGGAGATTCTTGACTCGTTTCCCCCAATCAATTATTTATTTCCCACAATAAAATGAAGTTAAATGGCAAGTTCCAGCACTTATTCCCATCTCTGAAAGTCAAAGCGAAACAAAATCTGCTCCTTCATGTGGTTACCAGGGTTACTATGCAGTCTGGAAAAGCATAAAAAAGTATGGGATTTATTTTCAGTATTTTTCCATTCCATATTTCTTCCTGGTTAGGAAGAAATAAAAAACTAAAATTTGTTTTGGAGACTTTTGTCCCTGTTTTACTGTCTAAAATGTGTCATTTTTTCCATTCTGCCCTTTTCACTTTCTTTAATTCTTTCCCCCCTCTCTTTCTTGTAGACATATTTTATCCTCTTGTCTTTTCTTCCATTCTGTTTCTGTCTTTTAATCTCTTAGCTCTAGTTGATGCCCTCAGATGCAAACTGTTTCCTTTGTCGGTGCAGAAAGCGTCACCATCACTCCAAAAGATTCCCGCTGGGTGGGTGCCTGGTGGCTGGGCTTCCTGATATCCTCTTCCCTGCTGCTGGTCTCCAGTATCCCTTTTTGGTTCCTGCCACGCTCGCTTCCCAAACAAGGGGATGAAACGGACACACCCACTCCTCCCTCTCTAACCCTCGATGGGGCAGAGAGTGCACAGAGCAGCAACCAAACCATCAAGCTGACCGAAATCGCAAAAGGTTGCAGCAGAAATGTTATTCATCTGGAAATGTAGCTCTTTTAGTAACATGTTAAGAGGTTTTAGTAACCTCTTAACATGTAGCTCTTTTAGTAACCTCTTGTATTTTTCCTCCATGCCCTTCAAAAGGATTCCTTCCATCACTGAAACGTCTCTTGGGGACCCCTACTTACTTCCTGTTTCTTTGTGCGGCCATTCTGAAGTTTAACTCATTTATAGGCCTGTTGACTTTCAAAGCCAAATACATGGAGCAGCAGTTTGGACAGTCAGCATCCAGAGCAAACTTCCTCATAGGTAAATCACACAGAATCACCTGTTAATAAACTACAGAAAGCTGGTTGATATGATGGTTGTTAAATTGGAAAAATTGGGAAAAGATTTACTAAGTAAAAATGCTTTGGAATAGTTAAATCAAATAGCAATTAGACCATTTGAACAGTGAGTATCAGTGCTGAATATAATAGCCACCCTTGCGAAAAGTAGTTTTAGTGAAGTATTCATCTTACAAAATTTAAATTCAAAAGACAAAGGTTTGAAAAGAAATGTTCTCTTAGAGCAAAGGCTAGCTTAGAAGCTGAAAAAAACAGACCTCAAGGTGTGTAAGGTCTGTCAGTAAATTACCACACTGGTGAATGTGTCGCCACTTGCTCACTTACGTTGCTAACCCATATGAGGTCAGGTGCACAACACTTTTCAGCTTGGCACTGTGGAAATTAAGGCTGCAGAGAGCCATGTTTGAGAAGGCTAAAGCCGGATTCACAGTTTTTGCTGTACTTGATTCCAACACAGCAAGTTCCCCCAAACATCCATTGTATTTATAGTCTTATATTTCATTCATGGTGGCATTAAAAAGGTCTTACAAAGTCGTATATCTGACTTGCTGAAACCTACACATACACTGTGATATATATGGTCTCCCATGTGGCTCTCTTCTCCAGTAAACATTGTTTGTTGTGTTTTTTCCTCTCAGGAGTGCTGAACCTACCCGCAGTAGCCGTGGGAATCTTTTTGGGGGGGCTCCTGATGAGGAGGTACAAGCTGAGTGTGGTGTCAGGAGCCCAGCTTTCTTTTGCCACTTCTTTCATGGGGTACCTTCTCTTACTACTGCAGTTTGGCACCAAGTGTGACAACAGGCCAGTGGCTGGCCTCACTGTATCGTACAATGGGTCAGCATCAAGACATAATCCGTCCCAAAAATATAACCTCGTTCATTCAGTTTGTCCACTCTACATATCTTCTCCACCTTCTTCACTTTGTGCCTTCAGGACACAGAGTGTATCATACAATGGGGAGATGCTCTTCTCAGACTGTAACAGAGACTGCTCTTGCTCGCCAGATGAGTGGGACCCCGTCTGTTCGGACAGCGGCGTCACCTACGTCTCGCCATGCATGGCAGGCTGCCTCAACTCAAGCGGACGCGGCAAAAACACAGTAGGGAAGCAAATTTCGCTGAAAGTGTCATTGAAACACTTCAGTTCTGCTTGAGTATCAGCAGAACCAACGTACTGACGACCTCCTTTGCAGGTTTTTCACAACTGCAGCTGTGCCTCCACCTCTTATCCGCCTGGCAGCTCCACGTCAGCGAGGCTGGGTCAGTGCCCTCACGCTAAGGACTGCACCCGCAGCTTCACCTCCTACATGGCTGTTTCTGTTCTCAGCTCCTTCATCAACTCTCTGGGAGCCACACCCGGCTACATGGTCATCATACGGTCTGTGCAAAATTATTCTCTTAGAAATTAATAGAAAATAACAATGGGTATTTGTCTTACGTTGTCGTTATGCAGTAAGGTGCAAAAGACTTGAAACTGGGTCAGAAAGTCACCCTACTGCAGGGAAAGTATCCAAGTTAAGGATTTAAAACAGTGGAGGAGGCGTAAAAAGCTATTAGCATGTTTAATGTGTGCAGTCTATAAATGTAGGAATCTGTCTGACTCTCAAGCTGCACACAAAACGATCTGCTCCAAAGCGTAACACCGTCTTCCTACAGCTTGAATGATAAACAACGGATCAGTGCTAATTAGAAGCATAGTGCAGCTGTGAGGAGAGAGGATGTGGCAGGCTGAGGGAGAGAGGAGTAAGAAAACAGGAGGAGTAATGAAACCAGTAAAACACACATTTACAAGTTATGAATAACTAACTAACACAAGAAATGAACAATAAACGTGATCCGACGACTAAAAATAACGAAGAACAGTCTGAAGTAAGAAAGAAACTAAGACTGATCTAAATCAAAACAAGAAAAGAGAAAACAAGGAATAACTAAGGCCTGACAGCAAATCATCACAAATACAGACCCATGGAAAAACCAAAACAAGCCAAGGGCTTTATTATATTATATCACAAATAGTGACATTTTAACAAGTGTGTGTGACTTTCAAAAACTGTGGCATTTGATTGTTTAGTATACAGAAGCAATTATGTGACCTAAACAGAAACTTTGTTTTCTCATCACTATATTTTGAAAATACACAACGTTGAGTTTCAGTCTCCAGTTTTATTGTTCCTAACTGTAAATATTACTGGTGTAGAGTTTGTCCTCACTGCTTTCTTTTTGTTGTTTTTTTTATTTCAACGTAGCTGCATCACACCAGACCTCAAATCCCTCGCGTTGGGTATTCAGACTTTGGTAACCAGGACTCTTGGTAAGCGTCATTGTTTCACTTGTATATATATCGCATGAGATTCCTTTTATGTAATATCTGTGCTACACTTTGTAGGTGGAATTCCAGCGCCTGTGTATTTTGGAGCTCTGATAGACTCTACTTGCCTGAAGTGGTCTATCAAGAAGTGCGGGGGAAAAGGGGCGTGCCGCATTTACGACTCAAATATGTACAGGTAACACATCAGCTAGCACAAACAAAAGTGGTTCTCCCAACATATTTATATTAGTAATCTAACCTTTTGTTTGTTTATTGTCTCCGATGAAAGAATCATTTTCCTTGGTCTGATTACTTGCCTCAGCGGCACTTCCTATTTCTTCATGATTGCCGTCATCGTCCTCCTGAAGCGACAGTTTTGGAAAGCAGATCGGGACATAGAGCTGCAGCAACACAAAGCGTCAAAGGAAAGTGGAATTATGGCTCAGCTGGAGACCCAGGAGAAGAGCGGTGCTGGGTCCACAAGTCCCAAACTGTCTTCTGACAAAACAGACTCTACAGGAGTTGGGAAAGACTTGGAAGGATGAGGGGAAATAATCAGAACAGA